TCTCTGGTCACTGATAGGGGACATCTGTAAAGAAATTTGAAGAAGGTGAATATCGCCTGCCTGATGCTGTATGCTACCTTCTCATGCATTTTAAATGGATGTGTAGTGAAACTGGCACTTCATTGTAGAAGCTACAGAATGTGTATCTTTTCTATTTTCTTTTATTGATAAAAGATGCTTTTCCATACAATATTATTGCCATTTATCCTCCCTAAACTTTTCCCAGATCCTTCCCTCCCATCTGAATCCCCAGCTTTTCTCTCTCCTTTGAAAATCAACAGGAATCTAAAGAATAACAAAATAAAATAAAAACAAACCAGAGTAGGACAAAACAAACAGCAAAAGGAGTCAAAGAGAAAGCACAAGAACACATATACATGCATACTCAAATACACAGAAATCTCAGAATAACCCAAAAGTGGAAAACATGATGTGTATTCAGAGGACCTGATAAGACTTCATTAGCAAAGCACTATGAGAAAGAGGGCCTCCCAAAATGTCACTGAGTTCATTTTATGTTAACCATCTAATGCTGGACATGGGGCCTGGCTTTAAGAGTCATTTGTACATGCAGTGTTTCAACAGAATAGTGGAAGTTGATTTTCTGCTAGGTCTCCGTCCTACTTAATCTCAGGTTCTTGGCTACCAGAGCAGTCCTGTGGATGGGTCTCATCTCATAGAGTGGGCCTTACATCCAGTCAGATATTGGTTGGTTTTTCCCACTATTACATTGTGCCAGTAATGTACTAACGCATCTTGCAGAGAGGTCATTAATGAAGATGAGAGGTGCCAGAGCCTGCTGGCAGAGTCAAACAGTTCCTGAGTGGGGAGTGAGGGCTAAAAGAAAATAACACAAGACACACAAGAGATCCACTTGAAAGGGTTGTCAGCAAAAACTATAGAACCTGACTTATTTCACAGTTCTTTTTCTTTAGTCAGAGCAAAGCACCTCAATACAATGAAAGAGTTCATCCAGAAGTCAAACTTGGTTACCTAGACCACCTCTCTGTGTGCTCCTCAGACAAACATATGCTATGAACTAGTGACAAGATTCACATGTTGTTTTCAAAATTATTAACATTGTTGCATTAGTTTCATTTGGGGAGACATAAGCTGACCCATACACGTGTTCATTATTCAGTGCCATTGTGTAAATGGTGAGTGTTCACAACTCCTGTTGTTCCAGAACCCCATCACTGTAGAAACCAGATATTTTCCTTTTCATTCCTATGCTCTAACACTGATTGCTCATTGCCTTCTCAGTATTATAAAAATTAATATTTTCAAGTTTTGGTATCAAGGTAATATTAGCATATATTCATGTACAGAAGGCTAAATGTACAACTTTTATTCTCATATTAGTTTCTAATTACTGCATAACAAATTGAGTAATATTTGAAACAATACACGTTGACTGGGCCGACATTTTCATAACTTAAATGGTCAGCCTAAACTCGTGACCTTGCAAATCTACAATCTGTACTAATCAAGCTTTCTTTCTCTCTAAATATGGGATGCCTCTTCCAACCACAGGCAGAGAATTGTAAATGTTAGTTCCTTGAGGTCATGGGTCTGAATTCTGGTTCATCCTGATGGCTCTCTGGAGGGACCACTCTCACCATGTAGAAATTGACCTAGGCCCAGGAGGGCTCCCTCTCACGTGATGGGTCTCAAGCTTGGCCAGTCTTTGGTTAGCCCTTTCCACACATTCTGCTCCATCTTTTACCTATGCATATCTTGTAAGCGGGAAAAATTGTAGATTGAGGTTTTCTGGCTGGGCTGGAGTCCCAATATCACCATTGGAAATTACAGGAGATAGCTAGTTCAGGCTCCATCTCCCCCACTGCTAGGTGTCTTAGCTCGGGTCACCCTCACAGATTCCTAGAAATTTCCATTGTCCTAGGTTTCTGGCTCACCCTAGAGATGCACCCCTCAATCCAACTCTCTGTCTGAATACTCTCATCCTTTGTCCTCCCCTCACTACATGCTTCTTGTTTCCATTCCCACCACCTCCTTGGTATTCTTGTGGGACTCTTAAAAGGGGGAGGTGGTAGGACGTCTCTCTCCAACTCTTTTGCCTGCTTTTGGGACCCTTTTCCTCTTTCTGGGTCTCCTTGTCCAAACTGAATGTGAGGGGAGGAGCCTGATCTTATTGCATCTTGATATGTTATGCATGGTTGCTATCACTGGGAAGCCTGCCCTTTTCTGAAGTCAAATGGAGGAGGAGTGGATGTGGAGAGGGAGGTATGGGGAGACTAGGAAGTGAGGAAAGAGAAAAAATTGCAGTTGGGGTATAATATATGAGAGAATAAATTTTAAAAAGTTTCAAGAAACTACTTTCTGTACTTAAAATTCTTTTTCTTTTTTCATTAGAGCTATTGTATTCTTAATATTAATTGTTTCTTCAAATTTCTATTTATCTTGTCATACTGTAAAATCAAAACCTGTGTATTTCATGACCTTTTATTAAGGAAGTGTTAGTCAACGGGTCTACATAACTACATAGAAAATAAATAGAAAGGCAAAGAAGATTGATTTTTTTAAATATTTTTTAAGGTCAAATGTTATATAAACAAGGAGTCAGAATGATGGCTCAGATGGTAAAGTTCTTGGTACCAAGACTGCTGACATGATTTCAGTCACTAGAACCCCTGGTAGAAGGAGAGAACCAGCTCCCACAAGCTGTCACCTTTACATGATTACCATGGCTTACACACACACACACACACACACACACACACACCTCAAGTGCATGTCAACACACCAAATAAAAATGCAAAATACTGGAAAATTGCTAATATACATATTATGTATCAAGGATCCTTTAGTTTCAGTAAATTTAGTTCAAAATTACTGTATTTTCAATTCAAAGTCTTACATTGACATCTTGCTTTCTATATTTGAAAAGATATATTTTAGTTCTATGGAAATGTAATGTATGATATCACAATATTTAAACATTATTTCTCAAAAAATATGTGAATTAGCTTTCATGATACATAAGTCATGCTAAAAAAAAAAAAAAACAAAACTGATTTTTGCCCAGTGTGGCGATGCACACTTGTAATCCCAGCACTCAGAGAAGCAGAGAAAGGTATAGTCCAGGATAGTCAAGGCTGCACAGAGAAACCCTGTCTCAAAAAAAAAAAAAAAAAACAAAAAGAAAAAAACATTTTTGTAAGACTTTTTACTTTTCTTCTATATGTTATTAAAAAATTTTAATGTTTTTAAAAACTTTTAGCAACTTCTAAAGCATGCATAGTATATTGGTAAACATGGACTAGATAAGTGGATTGACAACTGGTTAGTGCTATTTTCTTTATCTTCTACCTTTGATTGACAAGTATCTAAAATGTTATTGTAGATTTTATCCTGATGACTTCTTAAAGTCTAAATTCCATTGACTTGCTACTTTTACCCAGATTTCGTTGAGTTTTATTTATCAGATTAGTTCAACTAATGCAATTTTGTTAAATTTGTTGTGATACAACAATTACCTTTACAAAAAATAGTACTGAGCCATAGACCTTGGGTCATACACATTTCTAAATGTGGGACAAAAGGAACCACTATCTTGCTTCACCATGAATCATTATTGACAGGACATTTGGAAGCAGATTGCTAATTTTGTATATTTTGGCTTAAACATATTTTTAGATTTAGTACTCAGAATATACATACATACATACATACATACATACATACATACAGATATATATATATATATCTCCTTGTGAAAAGGCAGAAATATAGACAGGATAAAGAGAGGGAGGGAGGGAAGAAGGGAGGGCATGACAGAAATGGAGAAAACAAGAGGAGACGAAATAAAGGAGGAAACGACAAGAAGGGAGGGGTAAAGGAGGAAGAGTGAAGAAGAAGGAAGGGACAGATAGAAGGAGGGGTAGAGGCAGGAAGGAAATAAGGACAGAAGAGGAGGAAGAAAGGAGAGGAGTGAGGAAAGAAGTCCATCTATAATATCACAGGAACTAGAAGGGGATAACGTGACAGACAATTCTATAATTTAATATAATTAGTTGCATAACACGTGAATTGTGCAGATGCTAACCAAGGCACTATGTATGCCCAAAGAATGAAGTGAGAAAGAAGCATGATTTTGAGACCTTGAAAACATCTGGGAATAATGTTTCTGATACCATATTTAATAAAAATTCAGTTAAATTGATAGGTATGTGTTATTATTAGAGATTAAGAGTTCTGCTTTCTTGTCTAACATTTTCCTAGCACATCCTCTCCATTATCCCAAAACATACCCAGTACTTCATGCACTCACTTGTTTTTTTAGATTATTTAGAAACAGCACACCAACCGAAGTTGTGAAGGTTCATGTCTGTCAGAATTGCTTGCCATAATTATTCTCTATTTTCTTTTGAAGTGGATAATTATAGACCAACCTGTTTATGGGGTAAAGAACTAGGACTAAGTTATTCATAATCTGGAACAATGTTCTCATGCCACAAGCAGAGCACAGTGAGGAGTAAAGGTCAGGAAGTGAAGAGTAATCATACTCTATGATCATACTATCGCTTGGAGTCATATCTATGTTGTAACTATATTTGTCCATCTAAAATATCCTTTCTGATATTAATTAAAATGACTACCTTTCTGAGATTACTTGTTTTTAGTTTCAAAGTTGATTATTTTTACCTCGGAGTTTTGCTGAGCATATGTTTTATAACTTTGGAAAATGTATTTGGTTAAATTCGAGGGCATTTGGTATTTTAATAAGTATGAATAATTTTGAGAGAGCATTTAATAACAATCTAATCACTGTAGATTATACTTAAATACTTATACACCCCAATAACTTTATTTTCCATATACTTATGGAATCAGAATAATGTAATTTCATGATTGATGTCGTTTCTGCTCTCAGAGTTTTTTTTCACTTCTGTGTATCTAATCTACTTTTTGTGTAGCCTACTGTGGTAAGGGTTTCCTTCTTCAGTGATTACTAACAGTTTGCTAAATTTTCAAAACAGGCAATGGCCTAGGAATTAGAATTGTTGGCGGTAAAGAAATCCCTGGACATAGTGGAGAAATTGGAGCCTATATTGCTAAGATTCTTCCCGGTGGAAGTGCAGAACACACAGGGAAACTTGTAGAAGGTAAAAATTATAAATTTCATAGTAAAATAAAATGAATGTACTCATTTTAAATATGTTTTCATTTGTACGTAAATTAATATGCAAACTTGCTTTAATTTTTATCAGAAACTTTTGTAACTAATGTGGTAAAATTATGGCATAACAATGTTATATTATGCTATAATAGAAAATGTATCTAAAAATAAGATAAATTTACTTTCATTTGCACTGTTATTTTGGCAGGTGGTTAGTTACTGAGATACTTCAAAAACACAATTAGCTAAGGTTTTTACTGAAGGGTAACTAAAAAGCAACTTCAATGATCTAGTTTAATATTTTATTTTTTAGAAAAAGGAAGTATACTGAAAGCAGCTATGAAAATTTAAAACAACACTGTAGAAGCTAAGGTCAGGTAACTAGGTACAGATGGCTCACAAGCAGTTCCATCTGCCTCCGGCTGTGGTCAACAATGCGTGCTGGAACACAGCCAGGATTGCTTAGACCGGAGCACACACACCTTGCCGCTGCAGTAGCAGGGGCATAGATCACAGGGTCAGAGACATTCAAGTATTCACGTCACATCTGAAGTTTGCCAATATCTGTATCCGGTTCTGCTTACTTTTAGACACCATTCACCTCACAAAGGACACTTTAAAATAATGACCCTTACAGATCTTGCAGTCAAGCAAACATGTATTTCATCATCTTTACACAATAAATTCATGGATGGATTCTCAAAATACATTATGATAATTTTCATTTTTTTTCTATGAGCTAATGTGACCATTCTGCTTACAAATTCTATAACATGTAAATGCAATACATATGAGCTATGTGTATACATAACTCTTGAGCTTCAGGTGAAATTGTAGTGTGAATTTGTTTATCACAAAATATTTACAACCTTTCTATTTTATTCTAAATAAAGTATTTGGAAAAGTATTCTGTTTTACTTTTTGGTTTAAATTTTGCATATGGTGGTTTGCAATCTTTAAAAGTGATTCGCTGCCATTGTAATTGAAATGTATTGGAACCTACATACAAAGGTATTTTGATAAATTATCATTATATGATATACACAAACTATATTCAATATTTATTTATCAAAGTGTATTTGATGAGATACATGTGTATTAATGTGCCTAGGCCATTAGTCCAGCTTCATGAAGCAGCCTGTGTACATCCCTTCCCAACTTCAAATTCAGACACTTGACAACATGTCTTTCTTTTGGTCATGGTAGGATTATTTAAAGTGGAAAGAGGCAAATGCCATAAATTCAGTCCCTTTTTTTTTTGGTGGCTTATTTACTTCTAGAATTCCACTTGTTTTTTACTTATTTGTTTTGGTGTGTGTGTGTTTGGCTTGACTAATGTCATATGCCTAAATGGTATATTCTAATTCATATACAGTTTCTTGTTCTTAAGCATAAACTTCAGAGATTATACCAGGTCTTAAAAATTGTAGAGTGGTTGTGGTACAGTTTTGGTTTTTATTCTTTGTGTAAAGTGTTACCCTAATAATGCAACATATAGTACTAAATGTTTTGTTCTAATATATTGTTAAATATATATTATTTATTATAATTTATTCACTTTGTATCCTTGCTGTAGTCCTCTCCTTCATCTCCTCCAGTCCCACCCTCCTTTTCTCTTTGCCCCCTATACTCCTTCCTTAGTCCACTGACAGAGAAGGTCCTCCTCCCCTACTATCTGACCCAAGCCTATCAGAGTCTCATCAGGACTGGCTCTATCACCTTCCTCTGTGGTCTGTCAAGGCTGTACCCCCACAGGGAGTGGGGATCAAAGAGCTGTTTTCTGAGTTCATGCCAGACACAGCCCCTGCTCTAGGGAACCCACTTGGAGACTGAGCTGCCTATGGGATACATCTAAGCAGGGGTCTAGATCCTCTCCATGCATGGTCCTTGGTCACAGTATTGGTCTCTGTAGGCCCCATTGGGCCCAGGATTTTTGGCTCTGTAGGTCTCCTTGTGGAGCTCCTGTCCCCTCCAGGTCTTTCTATTTCCCCATAAAGTTCTTTGCACTATGCCTAAAGTTTGGTATCTGTCTCAGCATCTCCTTTGATGGGTAGAATCTTTCAAGGCCCCGTGGAAGGTTCTTATCCTGTTGCCTATCTTCTCCTACTTCCAATGTCTATCCTGTTTGTCCTTCTGAATGAGATTTCAGACCATCCACTAGGGTCATCCTTGATTTTTAGCTTCTTTAGGACTACAGATTTTAGTAATAATACAGTTTATCCTGTATTATTTGTCTAATATCCACTTATAAGTGAGTATATACCATGTGTGTCTTTCTGCTTCTGGGTTACCTCACTCAGGATGATCTTTTCTAGATCCCACCATTTGCCTGAAAATTTCATGATTTCCTTGTTTTTAATTGCTGAGTAGTATTCCATTATGTAAATGTTCCACAATTTCTGCATCCATTCCTCAGTTAAGGGACATCTAGGTTGTTTCCAGATTCTGGCTATTATGAATAAAGCTGCTATGAACATGGTTGAGCAAATGTCTTTGTGTACTTGAGCATCTTTTGGATATATGCCTAGGAGTGGTATAGCCGGATCTTGAGGAAGCACTATTCCTAATTATCTGAGAAAACAGTAGATAGATTTCCAAATTGGTTCTATAAGTTTATATTCCCATCAACAATGGAGGAGGGTTCCTCTTTCTCCACATCCTTTCCAGCATGTGTTTATTCAAGAAGTGAAGGTAATTTTTCACAATTTTTTAAAATGCTTTTCCTTTTCTTTTTTTTCTCTTCTTTTCTTTCCTTTTTGATTTTTCCAGCTAGGGTTTCTCTGTGTAGTCTTGGCTGTCCTATACTTTGTAGACCAGGCTAGTCTCAAACTCCCAGAAATCCATCTGCTTCTGCCTCCCAGAGAACTGGGATCACAGGCGTGTGCCACCATGCCTGGCTTGATTTAATTCTTTTCTAAGGCAACAATTTATGTATAAGTAGTTGAGTCAGTGGGTAGTAGAGGACTTATTTTGATTATGTACATACATACATGTTTATATGATTGAATATCTCTGGTTAATGTATTCAAGGTAAACTAAAAAGCTGTTCACCTCTTTTAGATTTCAGCTCTCTGTATTTCTGAATATCAACCTATATACTGTTAGCCTTTGTAGAATTGATATTAACAGTCAGATGTGATGGGAGTGGCAATTTGTTCACAATATAGATTTTAAATTGATTTTCTTCACAATCAGCTGCAAAATCCTTATTCAGAAAGCTTTGACCAGGTCTAATGCTCTCATGAGATTGTCCATCTCTCCTGCTACATTCCAGGAACATCAGGGCACGATGTTTGATGGCTATTTATACCACTCAATGATAACGGCTCTGTTTATGGTGACTGTTAAGAGGCCAAAATTATGTGCAGGTTTCTTCTAGTAGTTTCTGATAGTTGTACATTCACAAAATACTAGAAATCAAGTAGATTCTTCTCTAGTTCTGATAAATTAATCTCAATTTGCAGGACTTGTTGGTTTTGGAATAGCAAACAAAGTGCTGGTGTTTTATTTAGTGTTGTAGCCATTTGTTTAAAACCACTCATTCAGTCTTCTCTTGAAGTCCCTTTTTTAATTTTTTTAACATTGGTTACTGTTTATTAACTTTGTATCCCCTCCTTCATTCCCTTCCAATCCCACCCTCCCTCCCTCTTCTCCTCCTTGCTCCTTTCCAAGTCCACTGATGAGGAGCACCTTCTCCCCTTTCATCTGACCTTGATTTATCAGGTATCTTCAGGACTGGCTGCAAAGTCCTCCTGTGTGGCCTAGCAGGGCTGCTCCTCCCTCGGGGGTGGGGGTGGAGATCAAAGAGCCTGCCATTGAGTTCATGTCAGAAATAGTCCCTGTTACCCTTACTAGGGTACCCTCTTGGATACTGAGCTACCATGGGCTACATCCGAGCAGGGGTTCTAGGTTACATTCATACATGGTCCAACCAAATCCAAGAACACATAAAAGATACCATGTACCATGACCAAGTAGGCTTCATCCCAGGCATGCAAGGGTGGTTCAATATACATAAATCCATCAATGTAATCCACCATATAAACAAAATGAAGGAGAAAAACCACACGATCATCTCCTTAGATGCCAAAAAAGCATTTGACAAAGTCTAACACCCATTCATATTTAAAGTCTTGGAGAGATCAGGGATATAAGGCACATACCTAAACATAGTAAAGGCAATAAACAGCAAGCCTATAGCCAACATTAAACTCAATGGAGAGAAACTCAAATCAATCCGACTGAAATCAGGGACAAAGGCAAGGCTGCCCACTCTCTTCATAACTCTTCAAAATAGTACTTGAAGTCCTAGCTAAAGCAATAAGACAACTAAAGGAGATCAAGGGGATATAAATCGGAAAGGAAGAGGTCAAAGTTTCACTGTTCGCAGATGCTATGATAGTATACATAAGCAACACTAAAAATTCAACCGGGAACTCCTTGAAGTCGCTTTCAAAGTAAAGTATTCGGTTTTATTTAATAACAGGAGAACGTTATGTTTCAGAACATAACGTAATGTTGAGACTGGCAGAAATTGTTACTGTAAGATTATTAGGTTATTCTCAAACTAAAATTTAAATATTCACAATATTAGCTTCTGTATAGTTTTGCGTTTAGCAGAATTTTCTAAGCTCAACTACTAGTTTATGATTAGTTGACAATGATCTTTAAACACTTAGCAAATTAGATAGTAAAGAGACCAGAAATTCCTTTAAAATATATCTCTCAGTAGCATTTAGAAAATACTCTTCAACAAATACTGAGCAAAGAATAGTCTGACATTTATTATTCTTTCTTTTAATCCCTGAAGATTGTGCTTTGCTGTGGATTTAATTACAAATCATATAATTTTAAGCATTGCTATTCCTTCTGTTTGTGTTAGAATTAATGGTCTGTATTTTTATTTTTTCTTTTTTTTATTAATTACACTTTATTCATTTTGTATCCCCCCATAAGCTCCTCCCTCCTCCCCTCTCGACCCCACCC